ACCATGTTATAAGCAGGCATTAGCGGCACTGCTGCTTGCTACGAATTCAGACATCAATAACTATATTTTGTGACTGTCTGGATCCTGTTGGTCTGTTAAGTGTGATAAGGGCATGCCTTCCAGATTGGACCTGCCTCTCACACTTATGGGTCCTGGCTAGCATCAATGGGATTTAGCTGCTTGTGCTGTTTTGGAGGAGGCATGGAAACAAAACTGAAGGCATGGCAGGAACTTGTGGGTTAAATAGGAGTGAATTCAGGCTCTGGCTAGCATCAGAGCAGGAATTTCAGGTTACTATATGGAGTGACATGCCCAGTTCTTCCTGGATCTGGACTTGGCTTGCTGGATGATGTCTGGTTTTCAGAATGAAAGCATGATGCTGTAATGTAGGTATACTGTTTTCTCCTCTGATGGTTTTTATTTTTCTGGCTTTCTGTAGACTAACTGAAAGCAGTAAATCAAAGATAAGTCAATATTTTTTATTGGCAGGTTTGTTCATTGTCATCAGTTACATGCATAGAAGAGCAGACAAGGCAAAAAGCTAAAATCTCATAATCATTCATCAAGTACAATGTGTTTCCTTTCATTTACTTGTCTTGAGGAAGATACAGAATGTTACGAAAAAAATCAATGTGTTATTAAAAAGATAAAAATCAGTGTGATCTTTTATGAGGGATTCATATGTGAAATGGGGTTAGTCTTATCTGATTTTAAAACCTTGTAGTTTATTAAGGCACCCACAAGCGGAAAAAAAAAAAAAAGGTGGGTAAGCACAAAATGCATTTGCTAAACCATTTTATGACTGTTTGAAATGCCAAAACGAAAAGCCTTATCGTAACTAAGAAATGTAATGCTTACTTTGGGTTACATTCCACATGCTGTCATTGAGCCTTTGCATGACAGTTGAGCACGCTGTATGGCATTTTGCACCTCCTAGCTAAGGAAGAGGAGTTGAATTCTCACTTTTTCAGTTCTCACTCTAGTGGACTGTAGGGAACTCAGCTGAGAAAAAGCGAGTTGTTTCCTGGGCCTTCAGGTTAGAGGGGTGGGGTGGGGTGGTGGTTTCTTTTTCTTCACGCCAAAGGTGGTGAGTACAGAAGGAACAAGCAGGGGGAGGAGGGATGAGCGGCTTTTCCTTTCCAAATGGGGTGGCGTGGCTACAAGGTTCCTCTTGTTTTCTAGGTGCTGTTTTTCTGCAACTAACCTACCCATGTACTTTCTAAGGAGCCTGAATGCTGTCCCTGATTATATAGTTGACATCTCCAGTGTGGGAATTGCAATGAGTCTCTTGATACCCATGTGCATTTGTCCAGCCCTCTCTCTGCTTGTGTTTTGTTTTCTGTACTTCTAACTTAAAGTTTGTTGAGATTTAATGAATGAATGTTTCTGATGGAACTTGAATGAAGCAGTTATGAGCACCATTGAAAAACTGACGACAGTTCTGGGAGTAACCTGGGGCGATCAGCAACTGCTGCAGGAGATGTTAGCAAGGTCACGTCTGTGTAGCGCTTACTACCAGTTGTTCAGCTGTGGTAGTTCTATGCTGTAGGAGGTGAAAAGGAAGCAGAAAGATTGATGTTAGTCAGGTCCATTGACTTGACTAGCACAGCGGAGACATTTTGCATCAGAGAAAGGAAGCAGGCTAAGAATTTTACTATTCTTTTTCTTTTCTTTTTTTTTTTTGTTTGAGTATGTGGTAACTGTGGTGGTTAGCAAAGTGACTGTCAATGCCAGTTGAATGTTCAGCTTAAATTCCAGATGTTGTTTTGGTTTCTGGCTTTCCAGATAGGTCCCAGTTTGAGTATGAGGAGAGGGTCTTTCTGTTTTGTCACTGCAAGTTGCTGTTCAAGGACAGGCTGTTAAGTCCTCAGGCAAACAGTTCCTGTTCTTGAAGTCAAGGCTCATGCCTTTAGGACTTAAGCAAGTAGATCTGAAGCTTTATTCCTGTTTCTGTGCATTAAATCTGTGGTATGAGAGAGAGGGGCAGTGATCAAGCATGTTGGGACAGACAGAGAAAAATCCAGAGAAGTAATATATTTATTAAAGTTCTTTTTAGGTTTGGCATAGGCATTATTGTCCACACTGCCTCAGGCAGCTACAAGGTGAAGATCATTGATTTGTGTTTTATACAAACAATATTATTTTCTTGCCAAACAGGGGTATAAGTGAGGGCACTGAATTAAAGACATCTGATGATGTGTGTTCCTGGCAGCTCATGTGCTAATCTCACAGGCACAGTTACACCTAAACGACTCTTGAAGAATATCAACTACTGGTAATTCCACCAACAGTGTTTCTACAACTTCGTTTTACTGACAGCATGCCACCAGGCTGCTTTTCTCCTTCCCTGTGGCCAGGGGCCCAGCACGAATGTCTGGCATAATGGATATTTCCAAAATACTGGTGGTTAGCTGTTCTGGTGGTGTTTAGGTTGCCTGCATGTGGAACTGCAGCCCTCATCTGGTGAGGGTCTGCCATCAGGTATTGCTGTGCTGCCACGAACAGGCTTGATGTCCTTCAGTCCTTTAATTGGAAGGAGGTTGGGTTTTGGGTTGGTGATGTCTGCAGGACAGGGCTATCCTTATACCATTCATTAGCAGCAACCATTTCCTTTCAGTTTCCTGGTAGTTTCCCTATGTCTGTATCGGTCTATTATGTCCTGGCTTACATTTGGATGATGAGGATTTTGGAATAGTGGATTATGTTTTTATTTAGCCTACATCCTGATTTTCTTTAAAACTGATTACTGTAAATTAACTTGCTTTTCATGATATTGGTACAGCTGAAAGGATTAAACACACTTTTTATGCATAAAGTAAAAATCTGCCTTAAGCTCTGACATTAAGGGTCCCCCAAACAGATTTTATGAGCCATGAAAGCTGTATCTTGGTTAGCTGAAATCAGATGGAGTAAACTTGACCAAATATGTGGTATGGGAACAATTCTTTAGCCATGATAAATTTATTTAGTGGGGTTTTTTGTCTCATTTAATTGCTATCAGAGGTGGCCACTGTCATGAGTTATTTGGCCAAACTGCCTGCTATTTCCCATTGTAGTCTACTTTTATTCTGTCAATCTGAAAGCCATAAAATTAATTCTGGTCACTCACATGTGAAATTCAGCATTGCAAAGCAGTCAGCTTTAAGGCTGCATACTTTAAATCCTAGAAATGGTCTTTACATAGGATGCGAAGTGCATGGCCCTGAATTTTTGATCTGCACAGTTAATAAGATTGTATTTTCTGATGTAGTTTTGTGTGTACAGGTCATTTCCCCTATTTGGCATATAATTTAAAATATTTGCTCTGCTCTTCAAAATATATTCAGTTGTTATAAACGAGGAAATAATGGCTGGGAAAGAAAGTGAAGAAATCTAAATCAATAGACAGAAACTTTATTCTGATCTGTTGAAATGGTAGGGTGACACAGATAAATATATGCTTGAGGATTTTGAAACTGTGGAAACAAACAAAAAAATCAAAATGGGGACGCCTCTTAAAAAGAATCAGTGTTTAAAAGAGTCTGGGCTTTATGAGCGGATCTAACTCTCTATAATCTTGGTTGTTATTTATTGATAATATTGTTTCATGCCTGTAAAGTATGGGGACAGATTGCCTATTGCTGCGAGTTGCCATAGTTCCATAGATCCAGCTTAGGATCTGCCAAATATTTGCTTTCTATTAGCTGTAAAGTCTCTCCACAATTTTAGCATAACGCTGAACAAGATGATAGAATCATAGAATTGTAGAATGTTTCTGTTCCCTCCTATTTCAGTGTATTGCCAGCATTTTTTTTCTTCATTCAACCTGCACATGCATTATAGGACTAAAGTGTACATCTAGGTGAGGTTAATGATCCTTAATTACACAGTGGTTCCCTTTTTGTTTTCTTTTCTCTGAGATTAGCCCCTCTTTCCATATGCAAATAAGGTCACTTCTGCACTTCCAACACTGTCTTAATTGGTCTCTTTAGCTGACCGACTATTTTTCTTACCATTTTACAGCCTTTGGTGTCTACCAGCTTCCACCATTTATTTCCCTCATGCATTAATCTCTCTGTTTAAGCATCACATTGATGGATCAGCTTTTTTTTTTAATTGTTCTCCATAACTTTTCTCTAGGTCCTCCTTTTTCCTTCTCCTGAGAGGATGTCTCCATTCTGACCATTTATTACTTTACTGGTAGTGTCAACAGGACAGAAAAAATTTTCTTTTTCTCTGACAGATTTACAGTCCAGACAGTGTGCAGACAGACTAAAGGATGTAGGCTACAGAAAGCATGACTGACGGGAGGAGTCCAGCAATAGCTGTCCATACCATGACTTTTGCTGGCTTTTAAAAATGTTTCTTGGGGAAATACTTTGTCCTTTCCTTATTCCCAAGTTTACACTCCTTTAATAACTAAGTCTTCAACTTAGTGTATTGAAAACATACTTAGTGAAAAAATGAGAAAGGCTCTGTGAGCATAACCCTTCATTCCCTCCCCCCCATTTCTTCTAGATCCCAATCTCATATTCAGCCTAACTCTCAGAAGAGAGGCGTTACAGCTTGGTACTTTCTTGCTTCCTGCATCTCCAAGGCATATAAATTCTTTCAGCTCTATCACCTCAGTGATATTGCCGACATACA